GCCAGCCGGAGGGTAAAGCTACGGGCAGCATGTGCAAAGACCTCCTCAACAGTATCAATCACGCCCCGCAGCCACAGTTCTGACGCGATTGACATGAACAGGCGGGCAAACTTTTCCTGCATAGACGTCAGGGAGATAGTGAGCTTAGCTTGCAACCACAGGTGAGGAAGGGCACCTAGGTTGTCAGGCTGATAGAAAACACTGGCGTGAGGCTGTGAACTGTGCATCATAGTGGCCAACTTGTCCGCAGCACCTTTGATTTCCAGTTCCGTAGGATCATCCATTGCCGGCGGGATTGGCGGGCACCATGGTTGCTCTGGAGGTGCGTCCTCGTCATCGTCTTCACTCTCTGCCTCAGTTTCACTTGCAGTGGTGGCTTGTTCTTCTTCCGATGAGGGGTCATCCACTGTCTCACCAGCACCTTCAGGGCCTACCAGAGGGCTCTCTCTCATATGCACTTGAAGTGCAGGAGCTTGCAATAGCAGTGGTTGCAGTCGATGCGCATCAAAATAGTGGATACCTGGGATGAGTCATATTCGCCGATCTTTGGTGGCTTGATGAAATACATCTTGCTTCCTCTGAGCCTGTGAACCAGAACGGGGGAGCCATTGTGGGAAGCACACAACCAAAGTGGAGAGCGATATCCATCGCCGGCATAGCCATACAGGTATTCCCTATCTATAGAGCACGGAAAGAAACTGCTCGCCGTGAGGCGGTGGTCACGACTGTGGGAGGCTAGCGCTGCAATGACTTCCTGCGTAAGCCGCAGCTTTGACTTCTGTGCAATGACCAATCGATATCTTCTCAAGGATCGCACGCCATTCACGGTCACAACCATAGCAATGGCCAGAGGCGGTTTGTCTTGGGAATTAAACGGTGTATTGAGGCCCCACTCAAGGACCGCTTCTGCGTCCGACGGCACGTGCTTGGGCTCATGAAACTGGACAGTTCGATCTTTAAGGGTATAGTACCCGTAATGATAGACCGCAAGTGTCTGCGCCATCCCAATCAGCCCAGCCATATCAATGGGGGAGACAATGTATGTATGCTGAATGGCCCTGGTGAGCGCGACAGTGGCTCGCCCAAAGCAGTCCTCTTTGTCTTCTACCGTAGCCCCTCGACGGCCCCCGCTGAGGAAACCACATCCTGTCTGGACCACAACTGCTATTCGCGCAGTGGCCCCTGCTGCTGACGAGGTTGTGGCGATCCGCAGACCTCCAAACCAAGCAGCCTGAAAGCCATGCTGCAGGAGTTGTGTGTGTACTGCCGTGCGATTACACATTACCAGAAGCTGCGCCGTCGCTCCTTGATTGAGGTCCCGATAGCACTTTTGGAGGTAATTGAGAAATACTACGATATCCTCAATAGCTGCCACGAGGTCTCTAGAAACTCTGGGTACTTCCCATAACACAGTACGAAAGCCTCCCTGCCCAACCGTGTGATCGTGGGGGACAAAATGGCCTATTTGGATAGGATCCTGATCATGCAGCACCAATTCCGGGTATCTGACTGCGACGATAGCTTTATACGTCAGCAGGGACACTCTGGAGCTGTTGGGCAGTATGATGCCCCATCTATGCGGTCCATCTAGGCCGGCTGCTTCAATCGTAGTTGTACACTCAGGGATGCCAAATTCTTCTGGCGCAGTGGCAATAAGCAAGACAGCCAGTATTGCAGAAATCAGGCAACTCTGAACATTCAGGTGGCTGAGCGTTTCCTCACTGAAGAGGCGTGCCAAGGAAGTTGGTAGATGCTGGGCAGTTGCTGCAGTAGCCCAAATGCCTGTGTGTGGTGCTTGGCCAAGGTTGAGTAGCCGCGCCACTTCAGAGTCGTTGTCCTGGCTCGCATCCGGCCACAGGAGTGCAATTAACTTGGTGAGCCGGGCAGGGGGCAGATAGTCGCCAGGGCGATTCAAAGCTCGTAGCCCCAAGGGACGGTGAAGAAAACCTACTTGTGTGGGAAAAAGTGCTTTCATGGACTCTGTGCTTTGGCTTTTGGGCTGTCATTTCTACCAAGATTGGCAGGCATTGCTCTGCTTTGGGCCACCACACTTTTGGCAATGTTGACCGTGTGTTTTGACTTTTGGACTGGCTGTCTGTTGTTCTTGGCTTTACCGCGCTGCTGATGATGTTACGTTGAACCATTGAATGAAGGAAGTTTAGAAGTCAAACTTCCGACAATTTAAATTGATAGTAAGCCATTCATAGAAGATGTATAAATTATTTGTGGCCACTATCCGTTCATTCGTGAACTTAAAGGTCAAATTTGGGCAGGCAAAAAACGTGTGCTAAGCAATGTAAGGGAATATAGTAAACAGTAACATACACAATAAACAGTGGCCAGGAGCAACAGAGTCAGAGGCTGGCATAATCTCACAGCGACATGGTACATGTACACCCGTCGCTGGCTTGTTTCTTGGCACCACACACCGAGCGGCTTGCTTGTCTTGTAAGCGGGTGACAGGGCAAGGTTGGTGAAACCTATAAATCGCAGATGTCTGCAATCTGTTGATGCTGTAACCTGTAAAGGCCATTAGAATTTCTTGAACCCCACATACTATTACGTCGCAAGTAAACATTTTGAACGATATCACAGTCCAATCTTTGTCAAGTGTGGGTTTCCACGCGCCAGCACTCAGGATCCAGGGATTGAAAGGGCCTGGGCCGACGCAGGCGTTCCACGACTACACCCGAGAAAAAGAAATAATATTAAAGCGAGATTGTTATTATATATTTGTTGACATTGGTAAAAACTTATTATACGATTGAAAAATTAATGCATATAGATTTAAGCTTATTTAATTCAAATTTAAAATATAAAAGTATAGATATAAATTTATATAATATCTATTCGACTCATATGACGGGGTTTAGGGTTTAGGGTTTAGGGTTCTAGTTATGTCTGAGTTATATCACGACTACACCCGAGAAAAAGAAATAATATTAAAGTGCGATTGAAATCAATAATGTATTTGAAATTGGCCAAGAGTTATTATATATTTTTGACATTGGTAAAAGCTTATACGATTGAAGAATTAATGCATATAGATTTAAACCTACTATATACTTCAAGTTTTAAATATATTGGGCGTTTTCGGCACGTATAGATTAAAATTTAAATAGTATCTATTCGACTCATATGTGTGAGTTATATATTATATAAACTTCATGTATACAGAGCCTATTATTGTGTAATTCTGTTCGGGGTTCACAAATGGATTGAGTTACTTCGGATCTGTTCGCAAACACATGCGCCAAACAAACGCGGGGCCAACGCGGGGAAAACACAGGCGAAGCCTGAGAAACGCGAACCCTAAAACGCCTACGCGAAAACCAAAACCAAAAACTAAAACCCCTGCAAACAAAACCGAATGCAAACATGGAAAAACTGTCATGAACTGTCAACTGAGTAAAGCTGGTCAGCGCTTCTCTCTTTTTGTGCATTGGTTCGGGCTGATGCAAAAGGTCTCTAAGTCATCAGCTGTTGCTGATGTGGTTCACATCCATCTTTCTGCTAACCAGCTGCAAAGGCTTTCCACTGAAACCAACAGAGTAAGGGTGAGAAAAACCTCCCCCCCCAAGCCAGAAACTCGTCACGGAAACGAAGTTCGTGTCCACAAATATCTGCCACCGCTTTCAGAAGCAGAATGGAATCATCCAAATAATGAAAAATGTCAGCATGCACCTCTGAAGAGTAATTCGCCTCCAGCCATTTCTTGATTGCCACGAGAGCCATAAAACCAGGTTGGATGCGAGGAACGTGTTGGTTCCAATCCGACATATTCAAGTAAGTCAAAGGTAATGGATGATTAGGAGTCACGAGATGCCGTGGAGTCTCCGTTGGAAGATCTGGAAAGTATTGGTTTTCCATGTCCAGCAGTGCTTCGGTACCACATTTCCACAACATAGAGAAAGACTTGAGAGATAATGTCTCTCCCACGAACTCCAAAATCGCCTTCAAAAGAGAGGCCACGTTCTCAACAGCCTGTAAATTGTCAGCATTGGTAGTGATGTCAACTTGGATGAATGCCACCAGCATCGAAATAAATGCGACCTGCATCACGAGTTCTTGTTCTGAAAGGACCATCAGAACCTTGAAAGTCACCCACAAAAAAGGGGTGGGAAATTAAATGGGCGGGTGTTCAAATTTCTTTCAGCTGAAGCCGAAACCAACCAAAGAAAAACATGGAAAACCCAACAACAGAAAACGCATTCGAAAACCTCAAAACGACTGAATGACCGAAAGTGACATCTTGAAATGCATTCACTGAAACTCACGTTGAATGATCGTCACCCAAAAAATCGTGACAGCAAACGAAATAAAACTGAAGTCCAAGACAATACTTCCGGTCAAACACTTCCGCAACAACGCGAGGACAAAGGGGAGCGGAAGAACGCGGGAGCAAAGCGCGGGACCGCCAAACCCAAACAACGTCAACAAGACGACAACAGGACCGGGACACAGAAGAACCGCAGGGGAAGAGGACCGGGCCAAAGCCCCAGGGAGAAACCAATCAAACAGCCCCACCACCGCCCAAGCGACATGTGCCGCAAACAGTCACCTAGGTAAACCTAAGCACCCTGTTCGCAAACACATGCGCCAAACAAACGCGGGGCCAACGCGGGGAAAACACAGGCGAAGCCTGAGAAACGCGAACCCTAAAACGCCTACGCGAAAACCAAAACCAAAAACTAAAACCCCTGCAAACAAAACCGAATGCAAACATGGAAAAACTGTCATGAACTGTCAACTGAGTAAAGCTGGTCAGCGCTTCTCTCTTTTTGTGCATTGGTTCGGGCTGATGCAAAAGGTCTCTAAGTCATCAGCTGTTGCTGATGTGGTTCACATCCATCTTTCTGCTAACCAGCTGCAAAGGCTTTCCACTGAAACCAACAGAGTAAGGGTGAGAAAAACCTCCCCCCTCAAAGCGAGCCCTTGCTCAACTGAATCTGAATCTGATGCTGAGAATGTTTCAAGAAAATCTTGCAAAAACCAAATTTTCACCAAACAGATTTTTCATAATCGCCAAGTTTCACAATCTTCGCACTGGCCCTAAGACCATCCTTGTCCAGATAAGCATTGCGTTCATTCCAGAGTTTCCAAATCCAAGAAAAATCGAGTTTCGTCCAGTCCACGTGAATACGCTTTTGGATGTCCACTCCTGAAAAGTCCTCATTCGTCAGTGCATCGGCCAGGGCGTTCTGATCACGCGGCCGCCAGTTCAGCTGCACCATCAGTCTTGCATCCATGAGCGCTTTGGTCATTTGCATATACACCAAACATAAAGGCCAGCGAGTTGTCAGTCCCTTCTTGATGAGATGTTCATTTGCCAGATTGTCAGTGCCGGCTGAAATCTTGATGGGCGTTGCGACAGGTTTCACTGGGCCGCCCACAAAGCCGAAAAGATGAAGCGCCACCAGCACGGCCAATAACTCGGCAGTTGTTGACGCCCATTGCGACTCCCCCCCATCTTTAAAAAGGTAGGGGGCTTGCTCTGGCCGCAACTCCACTGAGAACCAAGCCCCTGAAATCAAGTGAACGCCCCCCAACACGACTCTTCCCAATTCACATTTTGCATCGGTGCGGAAGAGTTCTTGTGAGAGGCCTTCTGGTCGCCTGCACGTATGTACGTAGGTACAGTCATGTAGCTGTTCACTCAAAAACCTCATCACCAAAGACACCAAACGGGGTGCAGTTGCAACTGAGCTTCTGTCCAGAACCGATGACCAAGCATACAAGGGGGCCATGAAAGGTTTAAGCCACACCAGGACCCTCGCCACAAAACCCAATCGTCCAACAAATTCATTGAACCGCCTCAAAAGGACAGTTCCTCCAGCTTTCCGCATCTCCTCAATGAAATTCACGAGCCACTCGCCACGCTTCTTTGTGATCCCAAAGAGATATCCAACAAACTGCACCTTCAAACCTCCTGAGAATTTCTTGTAAGAGAACGGAGTCCCTACCAGCTCATAAATCAAGAGGATGATCCACATATTCACAAACTTTCTAGCACCAAGGCAAGTCAAATGCAAATCGTCAACGTAAACCAGTTGCCACCAATTCTGCTGCTGCATGATGTATGCTGCCAGGCGCCCAATACCAGAGAACAATCTGCTCCACCAGTAAGAAGCCGAGGAAATCCCAAAAGTCCCCACGCAGTTGATCCAAATCGTTTTATCCTCAGTGCGGGCCTTGCATCCCAGCAGCGGCCAGTCACGCCTTCTGATCTTCACCAGGCGGTGTGCTGAAGCGATGTCAGCCGAGAGGGCAAACACAGCCTCCTGTTCCTCTTGAATGTGTCTCACCATATGTGCTGCATCCTCCGGGCCAGGGTACTGAAGCTGATCCTGAAAAATTATTTGGTTGTTGAGCTGGACGAAATGAGTGCCATCATGGAGCGGCCTCACATCTCCATTTGGCTTCCGAATTGCTCCCATAGCTGCCACCAAGGGAGTCCTATCTGGGAAGTCTGCTTTGAGACGTCCAAGAGTGGTAGGCACCATCCGTCCCAGTTGCTCCTCTTCTCGAAATTTCTTCTCGAGATCATCTGCCATGCCCTCAGCGGATTTGTAGTTGCAAGCCATGCTGTTAAACTCCGAGTCGTCCAGAGGGCGGGCCTTTTCCTTTGGCGGAAAAACAGCTGGAATTCTTGGCAGCGGTTCATCGTAACCCACCGGCACTCCATTCCAAAATGAATCCGTGCCCTCCATGTAAACGGAGTAATCAGGGTCCCCAAAGGCCTCCAGAGACTGGCCTACAAGACCAAGCAAGAAAGGTTGCCTTTCAGGCACCACCAGCGCCATGTCTTTTGAAGGTAACAAAGCCGCCCAGCAGCGCCTCAGCTCTTCCAGCTCCTTGTCCGTGAATGGGGATGAAGGAAAATGGCCCAGACCAAGTTTTATTGCTTCTCTGCGCGGGTCCGCAAACTTCTTGTCCACAAATGTTGACAACATCTCAAAAATCTCTGTGCACATGCCTTTTGCCTCCGCGCTCATGTGTGCTCCTCTGCATGATGGTTCCCATAAAGTGGGTGAGCACAAACCGAAACCATCCACCAGCTCCCTTGCTCTGCCAGCCCATTCCAAAGTGATCTTCTGCCCCCGATGCAAGCGCTGGCTCACATCTGCGCTTGTGTTATGCTCTGCCGTTCGTTCCTCTGACAGGACATTTTGATCTGCCTCCTGTGTTGCTTGATGTTGGCTTTCCTCCAGCTCTGTTGCCTCGTGGTGTGCCTGGGGTTGCACGGGCCGTTCAAGAGGCCTTTCTGACTGCTTGTTCAACTCAGAGGGACTTTCCCCCTTTCGTGAGACGATGAGTTGTGCCAGCCATTTGCAAAGCGGAGGCGGGTAGGCCGCCGAATCTGCTGTTTTCCATTTGCCGTTTTCTTTCCCGATAAGTTTTCTGACATGGAACGGATGTGAACATGCAGCGGGCAGTGGTCCCAAGTAATTGCGGTCCTCATCAAACTGCGGCCAGCCTTGCCATGGAAAAGACTGTGCCAGTGGAAACGTTGTCACAAAACGTGTAGGTTTTGGTGATTGTGCGCCAAAATGGCATTGAAAAACTGCAAATGTAAAAGCATTTCCTGAATCAACAAATTTTCGCATCTCTTCCAGTTGCCAAACGCTTGCTGGTTTGTCACCACCAGTGGTTTTCCCAAGATCCTCAGGGTGCTCAAAGAGGAAATCGCACCCTACTTCCAAGCAAATGTCCATTGTTGCAAAGCTTTGTGATAAAAGAAAGTTGTGATCCAAAATGAGCTGCCTATTGTTTCCCGACAGCCATGGGAATCCCCAAGGATGATTGAAATTGCGGACTGGAACAGGACCAGGAGCCAAAACTGAGTTGCAACGGGCACGTGAAAATGAATTGCAAGGTGGAGTTACCACTGCCACATCGTAAAGGCCCTGACGCAGCTCTTGGAAAATCTCATCCCATAATTTTTGTTGTAACAAATCATCAGCATCACTTCTTTCTATGTCCACTTCTCGGACGTGAACCTCAAAATTGCCATTGCTGCCGAGCTTTTGCAGAAAATGTTTTATGTCGGCTTTCCGCTCTCGACCACAGAAAAGGTACAGCACCCTCAGTTGCTGGTTGGGTTGCTGTGGTGTTGCTAGTCACTCGGTCTTTTTCTGGTTCCCTTGGAGCTTTGAGTGCTCCCTTGCCGCGTGATCGCCAAAACATCCTCGGACTCTGCAGACATGTGCTCTGCCACACTTTCCGTTGCATCCTTGTGAGTTAAAGGCAAAGCAAATGTCCCGTCCGTCCGGGGTTTGTGCAACCAGGCTCAAATCGCCGTGCTTTCCCTTTGATGCATTGTTCTTGGCACCTTTTCCAAAACCCTTGTGTTGTTGGAATTTTCCCTTGCCTTTGCCCTTCTGACGGTTGGTCCATTCGTTGTTTCCCTTCTGTGAAGTCTTCTGATACTTAACCGGTGTCTCTGCTGTTGTCAAAGCCAACGGCGTTGTAAAATAGGCTTCTTTGAGGTCTGGATCTTTGGTCACTCGCATCAAGGCCTCTCCCAAAAGTTGCTTCTCCACGATTGACAAGTTTGAATGCCTCCCGCCGCAGTCGATGCTCGTACTGTAGCACCAGTGCCCAATTGGGTTTGATTGCCACATGCTGGTTGTCATAAGGAACCTTAATGGCGTTGACCCTGTCACCAAGGATGTATTCCACAAATCGCTGAAAATGATCTGCTTTGAGGTCCGACAACCAGTGTTTCGACTTGAATTTTGCAGCCATGCACATCCATGTCACTGCCTCCAACTTCAAGGCTTGCCTGTACTCTTCGGTATTGTTGGGCAGTGTCCCTTTTGATTTGTTTTTCACCACTCGCACATGACCAGCTGTGTCCAACGAAGTCTGCAGGGAAGAGGTATTCTTGTGGGTTTTGCTCGTGATCTCGTCGAGGGAAGAGGCCAAGATCTCCCCGTTTTCACATTCTTCCACTTTCATTGCAAGGTACTCAGTGCTAGGTGTATCGTGTTCAGCGAGAACTCCAAGTGCAGCTTCAACTGCTTTCAGCATTGCTTGCCGCTCGCTATGTTGAAGGTTTCTGGGCATCCCCAACACCTTACTTTCTGCATGCAACTCCGTTTCTTTTTCGTAGAGTTGTCTTCCTGCCGTCCAAGCGCTCACCACCTTAGCTGTTTCAGCTCGCGTCAGCTCCAGAGTTAGGATCTACCTGAAAATCATTCTTCAAGGCCGTCCTGATGTCAGCTGTTGTCTCACCGAGGGCGATGAAAACCCGTAGAGATCTATAGTGTTGTGCAAACCTGTACTGTAAATCCAGGCTCACTTCAGAATCGTCCCAGATATACTGCAAGTCTGATGTCACGTTCTTCTGAATGAATTCCCTCTTTCCAGCATCGTCCATCGCTTTTGCAACAGCGCACGGAGTAAATCTAAAGTGAAATCAAAAGTTTTGCATGAACAACATGTCCCAACTAACTGAGTGAAACTGCCCCACAACAATGTTTGAAAGAGTGACGGCAAGTCAAACTAAAACCCAGAGGCAAGCACTGAAACTGAATCTGAAGCAAAATGCCTCTTTGCTGAGCCCGGTGACTGCAACACCGTTGGGATAACCCTGAGTTGAATCTGACGCTGAAATTCCAAGGCCAGAAGCTTACACCATCAAAATTGTCAATAAAACACTCAACAAACTGAATCAAACATGGCACGCAAGACATGTGAAATTCTCAAGTGAAATTCTCAAACTGAAGCTGCTGGTATCTGCTTCCCTTTTTGCCAAATTGTGCCAAGCTCAGTCCAGTGCCTCCTCTTGAGGTTCCAGTGCCTTGTCCGACTCCGTGGAAGATGACTCTCCCGAGGTGCTCGAGCTCTCACTCTCAAGCTTTCCTTCATCCGCTTGAAGACGTCTCTTGCAAATGCGACACATCACGTCAAAAGTCGTTTCATCAATTGAGGAAACATCAAAAGAATCAAGGCATCTCTGGGAGCGCACTGGACATTTGAAATGAGCATGCAAACGTCTGAGCCCCGTGCGCCTGGAAACAGTGATGAAGAATTTCGAAGCAACTCCACTCTCTTGTTTGTCTGATTCATCAACTTTCTTTGCAAGTTCATACTCATCCAAGTTCTCTGTTTCATGGTCTGTATCAGGTTCCTCTGAGTGCAGCACGGGAAGGTCCCTTGTGAGCTGTTGCGTATGCCTGCGACGGATCCTATGTCCTACCAGGCCATGGTCATCAGCAAATTGGGTCACCTCATCCAACAGCTCAGTTTCATCAATTTCAGCACTTCCAGTGGTTAACGCCTTCATCACATCAAGCTGAATGGTTTCAACCACTTGCCTCGCTGTGTGAATGTAGGCATTGCTGCCCGTCCTGCCCAAAGCCCACCGTCCAAGATAGTCTCGGCGTTCTTTGGGCACCCCCAGCGCCAGTGCCGCCTGATTCAAGAAGTGTCGAGTGCTATGGCCCGTCCAAAACAAAAGAAGGTCTCCTGGCACCAGAAGCATCGCCTTATTTGTCCGCCAAATTCCATCTTGGAACCTTGGCGTCCCTAACCTGCCCAAAACCATGCGCATCAAATTTGAAAGCGCCGGCGGTTCAACCAGTTTAGGATAGAATCCATCCCATGCATCGTTGTGAGCCGGGACAAGGTAGTCCCTCGGGAAGATGAAGGAATCCAGCTTGGTAAATTCCATCCCCGTTGCAAGCCAATCATGTCCAGTGAGTGAAATTTCTCTGCGAATGAAAATCGGTAACTGGCCGTGAAGTTTTCCAGGACCTGATGTCTTCGTTCTGGCCAACCTTCCAGTGAAACCCCTCTTTGAAACCTTCAATGTTTCAGGCAGTACATTCTGTATATCGTCCACACGCATTGATGTCCAGCATGCCAGTAGGATTGTCCATGCAATGAACCTGAAATAAATTTCTTGTTCTTCATCCATGACAAAAATTTCCAGTGACACCAAAATTGCAACCGTATAGGGTTTTGCCGGCTTGGGGACCCTTGACTTTGACTCAAGCTCCAACTTCCAACTTGACAAATGTGCCAACCATGTTGCATCGTTTGAGCATCGTTTGTCTTCTGGCACCCTACCGACCTGCTCCAAGACGGTCAGTGCAGCCTGGAGTTCACCTGGACAGGAATAGCTGCAGCCTTCGTCGATGCGCTCCTCCACAAACGCCACAAGCGGCGATATGCTCTTGGGCCACACTTCACCTGAAAAGGCCAGATACCAATTGCGAAACTTCTGCCAAGCCCTAAGCCTATTACGCAATGTTTTCGATCTCCGGTTGCCGAAAATACGAATCCAAGCCCTGTTGGGATCTTGCAATAATTCCAGCTGAAATGTCACAGGCAAACATGCTTCCCTCACAATTTCTGCCAACTGCAATGCGTAAACATTCCTCTGCTCATGTTCAAGTTCTGCACGCTGCAAACCTTTGTGTTCTCGTTTACGTTTCAATCTTCTCTTAGCAATTTCCAAAACATATGCAGGGCTATCCCTAATGATCTCCTCAAACTCCTCCTGCACTGTCCTCTCAAGGTGATGTCCAGGATGACGCAAGTGACTGAAACTCTCCATGCAGCGAAGTGAGGTCAAACGTTCACAGGGTTTTTCCATTGAAGTTTTCCAATTCCAAACAACCTGCACTCCCTCTTCGCCTAATGGACCAAATTCGAGGTGACCAAAAATATCCTGCAGCAGTCCCTGAACATCCTCAAGAGTTGAAATTGCGTAGAACAGAAACCGGGGCTCTTTGTAGACTCGTTTCACCGTCTCTAAGAACTTGGTTCCAAGCCCCTCTAGGCCAGACCACTCCATGCGTCCCCATAGGGGAATGCGCAGCGCCCCAATCTGTTCAAATTTCTTTCAGCTGAAGCCGAAACCAACCAAAGAAAAACATGGAAAACCCAACAACAGAAAACGCATTCGAAAACCTCAAAACGACTGAATGACCGAAAGTGACATCTTGAAATGCATTCACTGAAACTCACGTTGAATGATCGTCACCCAAAAAATCGTGACAGCAAACGAAATAAAACTGAAGTCCAAGACAATACTTCCGGTCAAACACTTCCGCAACAACGCGAGGACAAAGGGGAGCGGAAGAACGCGGGAGCAAAGCGCGGGACCGCCAAACCCAAACAACGTCAACAAGACGACAACAGGACCGGGACACAGAAGAACCGCAGGGGAAGAGGACCGGGCCAAAGCCCCAGGGAGAAACCAACCAAACAGCCCCACCACCGCCCAAGCGACATGTGCCGCAAACAGTCACCTAGGTAAACCTAAGCACCATCATGGGGTAATTTTATTCAGCTTTACACCCTTAGACCTGGCAAACAACGTCGTAAATGTAAGCGCCAGGTAACTGTATTCAGCAACTGAGAATTTGTTCTGGTTTTCGCATTGACTTCACACGGCCACCACATAGAACTCAGTGAGTTGTCATTGGGCCACTGACGCTGTGACTGCGCAAGCCTGGCAACAAACAATTTCATGTCTCTCTCATTTCCCTTGTGAACTTTTTTTTGCGAACAGCTTCTCGTGTTTCATTCAATGTTTGTGACAGTGAACGTGTTTTTTTCAAGCGTTGACGTCGCCGAACTCCTTTAAACCTTCACATGGCCACAATGTGCCTCAGCAAGCTATACTTCTCAAGACTAACGCAAACCTGCAGCGCAGGGTGGTCTTCACCATCAGGTCCCTTGAAAGTGACCGTGCTGACTTTCGGCTCATCTCCGCGTTGTACCCCTGAGGATCCTTTGAAGATCACGCAATTGCATTCAGACTCAAAGGGCACTCCATTCCTGTAGGGGTCAATGGAAAAATTGCGAGATGGAAAAAAAGACGAGGGAACGACAATCACTGAATTGATCAATCAACATCACGCGCACGTTAAATCAATGATGCCAAGCAACTGGCTTGTGGTCACATTGACCGATGTCCTCACATCGGGCAACCCGCCGATCATCATCATCTCGGTCGCTGGCGGCGGATTTTGGAAATGGGAGATGGTGTGAAAAGGAATCTTGGCAGCCAAGTTCTCCTCCACGATGGCTGCACGATCCAGGAACAGGATCCTTGCCGAGAGGGATTTAAAAACTGCTAGCTTCTAAATAGCCTCCGAACAAGAAAACTTTGCCTTCAATTTCAAGGAAAATGATTCAACCGTTGCCACGTGTAGCTGAAGCTCGTGACTCTGTTTTCAAGCGGCTCGCCTCCTTCTGCAGACCCAAGCAACATGACACATTCTCCTGGGCCATGGTCAATCTCGTCCTCCAAGTTGAAACCACGGGCCCACCTCAAAATCAAACAGTCATCTCGCGTCATGGCTGCGAGAGCAGCACTCATAGCTGGTCGGCCTTCCAAGTTCGCAGGGCTGACTTGGCCTTCTCTGTCGGCCCGGAAACAAGTCATCCTTGGCTGCACCAACGCCGCAGCCATGGCTCCAAAATTGACGAACCAATCGGTACAGCCTCTAACTTTGAGCGCTCTAAAGACGGCGCTAATTTATACAAATCAAAAGCCGGGTTCAGTCTGAGTTCTCAAGAATGGCCGAACATGGCTCAGAATGCTTCTCAGACTAAAGGTTGAAAACAATACAAATTGTTTGCTTGCACGGCCGTCGGATTTTTCTGGCTCTGAGAGTCTGCGTCAATCAACGTCTGCGGAAATGCACTGAACAAATCCAGCTTTTACAGCTGCTCTGAATGACTTCTCAACTTTGCCGGAAGTGTGCTTAAACAGTCGCCACTTGTCTCCCTGCTGTTTCCCTGTGGTGCGAACGTATTCTTCCACCTGCAATGGATCCAGCAACCAACGCAAAGTTCAAACAACAAGTTCAAAAAACAAAAAGAAAAGTTCAAACAAGTCAAATCAGCAAACCAGAACAACAAAACAAGAAGCCCCGCCTTCCAATCTCCATGAACGCTCTCTTTCCATGTCTGGTCGCCGGAACTCTTCTCCTCCCAGGCGTAAAGCTCCGGAGTGAACTTCTGCTGATTCACCTTCGGCTTCTTGGCTGGAGGGGCAGAATCAGAATCTGCGACTGCAGGGGCAGAATCATCAGCAGAATTAGCGGCCGCTGGGCGTTTCAATGGGGTCAATGGAGCAGGTCCACTTGAAGTTGGCGCCCCCTGGATCTCATCTTTGGCTGCTGGGCGTCTGAGATTTTTTTTTTAGCAGCCGGACGCTTAATGGGCAACGGTTCCGTTTTAGGTCCAGCTTCATCATCAGAAGTAGCCAGGAAAGTCTCCGACGATTTAGAACGACAAGCAGCATTGGCAGTTGCCGCAGCTGCTGCTGCAGTGCCAGGCAACTTCGAAATCTCAGTCTCTGTGGCAGCTTGGAGCGACTCCCCTGGCTTTTGCTCCACTGCGTCCAACTTCTCACTCTCAAGCTCTGGCTTCCCGCCTGGCTTCAACTTCTCATCCACACTCTCAGGCTCTCTGGCAGCTTCGCATTGGGGCAAATCCGCTGGCTGCGACATCATCTTTGCATCTGCTGCAGGCATCATCTCCGACTCCTCAGCCATCTCTGAGGTCGACGACCTCACAATTTCTGAGTCATCAGTCTGCTTGGTATCACCTGGATTTGAATCTGAATTTGACACCTGCGCCACCTCGGGCTCCACAGACCAGAGGTTGAACTGCGGCCCCTCCGGAGATTGCCAACAACTCCGCGCCCTTTCAGGAGGAGTTCGCGGCGCGTCATCCAACCCGGGTCCCGTCAGCTGCAAAAGCCGTCGGGCTTCTGATTTCACAGAATCCCTGAACTGGTCTGACATGCTGTCTGAAAATGGCTGAGGCTGAAACGCGAGTCATGAAACATAATGACGATCCAGCCCGTTTCAACTATGTCAGACAGCTTGATACAAATGTTGGACCCAGGCCAGCGCATGATTCTTTTCATTCTTTTGAACTCCTACTACCGGCATGTTTGCCATCAGTGGAAGAGACAACTCACCCCCCCGCAGTGCGCTAGAGAGATCATGGCTGGCTGACAGGCACACCAAAAGTTTTGTTGAGCGCAACATCCCAAAAGTGTTGGGCTCTTTTCACTAGGCAACATTTGACTTTCAATCCAGCAAGTCCATGATCATTGAAGAGAGGCGCCACTAGTCTACTGCCCCCCTGCGCTTCCCATGGCAATGGGTTTGCTGGCTTCCATGCTGATTGCACGCCTGGCAAAACAGTAAGGCTTCTGGACCTTGGTAACGGCATTGACGCGGTCGAAGCCTCAAGCGGCAGGATGAGATGACACACAAAGACCTATGAGTCACATTAAGGAAACTTCAGGCCCAACATCAAAAAGAAAATTTGCTTCAAGCAAGCTAAAGATCGATATCGAAACGCCGTCATCAAGCCGCTGCCAGACTCAATGATCTGGTAACTGTCAAAGAAGATGCTTTTGCATGTGAGCGCCTTTGTCAGATCCTAGATGTTGCATTCCAAGTCAATGAAAGCATATGAAAACCGAAGCACTCAAACTCAGCGGGGAAAACAGCACCATTGGACTTTAGCTTCCTTTCAAAATATAGAACCAAAAATGCCTCTTAAAAAAAAAGAACCAAAGGTTCCGGCAAGGTTTGATAGAAGTGTGGGGTTTTCAACTCCACCTTGAAGGAGTCTTGCCCAGTCGAATCGGTTTGGCGAGTGATCTCGCTATAGGACACGCTGTGCGACGTCACTCTCTTCAAACGTTCAACTGTTGTCAAGTACTTGTACAGGGTCATCATGTCAAACGATGTCTGGTCCACATTGAGGCTTTGCTGGTCGATTTGCATCATGGTTTTGTCCCCCAAAGGCCAAGTCATGAGAACCTTTCGAGACTCCTCCACACCGCTCGTGCTCGTGGGCACGTACCTGAGATTGAAAGCGGGGCTAGGCCCCAAGCTTGAAAGCCATTTATAAACGGCTGGGAAATTTCATAAGCCAAAAACAATTAAAAACACCTTACAAAAGCACGCAAAACCTTGTAAAGAACTGGCTAGGAACTTGCCAGTACCAAAGCCGCCAACCAAGCTGTGTTTCGAAATGATGCGAGCACGGTCCGACAGCAAATAAATTTGCCCGGACTTTCCCTTGATCACTTCAATGCCAGTGATTTCGGAGGCGCAACGGGCAATGAATGGGCCATCCGCTGTTTCAAGCTCGGCCACGGAGCCAAAAGACTTCAGCTGCTGTTCTGCCGTAGATCCCTCGCCCTCACCGCCGCCGCCGCCACCTTCTCCAGTTGGAGGTGTGGGTTGGTCTTCCACCAGAGTGCCAGATTGCAATACCTGCTTCAGCAAGTTCTGGTACTTCGCAGTGTGGTCTTTCTTCAACTCCTCGAACCTTTGGCTGTCTGGCCCTCACCAGCATTGTTCAACTATTTATATACTGAAAATTTTCCATGAGAAAGAGTCATCAGCGTAACACAATAACAAACTAAATTATTACAAGTTAAACTTTGTTTCTGATGTGAGGTGCAAAACTTATTAGTTCAATATTTCGATGAACTACGGAAGTTAGCGTATCATAAATATTTGCACTCATATACAAAATAGGAGATATATCAGAGCTGGTATGTATATATCATTATCAAAGTTCGTCATATTTAAAATTTACAACCTTGTATTTGTACCTATTTGGCTTGGAACTCAACTTAAAAAAGAAAATTATCGAAGGAAGTTTAGAAGTCAAACTTCTGACAATATGGACAGATGAAAAGCAGAGATGGGGAAGAGTCAGAGAGGAGAAGAGCAGAAGAGAGAAGATGATAGAAGAGAAAGAGTCAGAAGAAAGAAGATGCAGATGGGCGAAAAGGTAGGAAAGTCGCGAAACACTGTGTTTTTTCCAATGATTTGTGGCTCCGGAGGGTCGAAAAGTAGGCTCGCTAAAGCGGCGGGTGCGGAGCCATCTGGCCAGATGAGAGATGAAGTAAAAGTGCACGCCGTTGTGGCGCGAAGCACATGTCGAAATCAAAACGTACAAAACACACCAGTGTTCGGACCACTTTTGGATGTCGAAAAAGTGCACGCCATTGTATTGTGGCGCGAACGAAGCAAATGTACAAAACGCTCCGGACCACTTTTGGCAGTTAAGATGTCGAAAAAGTGCACGCAGTTGTGGCGCGAAGCACATTTCCAAGTCAGAATGTTAAAAAAAACAGGGGTTGGGACCAGTTTTGGAGGTTCAGATCTTGTTTCGCCTGGCAGGCGCAAGGGATTATTGTGCACCTTGTCTCAAGTGAGCAAAACGTGCGGGTTTTGTAGCATTTATAACTACAACCACCACTACACCACACACTCACTCCAGGTCCAATACACTACACTACACTACAACAACCTACGTAACTACACCTTGACTACATTCAACTACAACACACTCCACTACACTCCACTACACTACACTAGGCTCAATTACACTCAATTACACTTCACTACACTACACTACATTGCACTACAGTCCACTACACTATACACACTACACTACACTACCTTCCACTACACTACACTACACTACACTCCACTACACTGCAACTACAACTACACAACTACACTCCACTACACCCCACTACACTCCACTACACAATTACACTACACTACGCTACATTACACTACACTACATTGCATTCCACTACACCCCACTACACTACACTCCGTTACACTACAGTACACTACATTCCACTTCACTACACTACATTACACTACATTCCACTACACTACACTACACTAACTACAACTACAACTACAACTACCATACTACATTTACACGACGCTACACTGCACTACACTACACTAATTACACTACACTACACTAGACTCCACTACACTACACTACACTGAATGACACTGCACCACAGATAGACAGGTAGACAAGCTGACAGATAGACAGATACACAGATACACAGATAGACAGATAGACAGATAGACAAATAGACAGATAGACAGATAGACAGATAGACAGACAGGTGGGCAGATAGATAGACAGATAGATAGACAGATAGATAGATAGATAGGCAGGCAGACAACTAGACAAATAGACAGACAGACAGATAGATAGATAGACAGATAGACAGATAGACAGATAGTCAGATAGACAGGTAGGCAGATAGACAGATAGATAGATAGACAGATAGACAGATAGACAGCTAGACAGACAGAGAGATAGATAGATACACAGCTGGCTAATAGGTAGATAGATAGATAGATTAGGTAGATAGATAGATGGATAGGTAGATAGATAGATATATAGATATAGAATAAAATAGCATAGAATAGAATAGAATAGAATCGAATCGAATCGAATCGAATCGAATCGAATAGAATAGAATAGAATAGAATAGAAAGAATAGAATAGAAAGAATAGAATAGAATTGAATTGAATTGAATTGCCGTGAGGATCCAAGGTTGTCCTTAGGACAACTTTTCTGCAAAAGAGGGCTGGAGTTGTCTTCTGTTGTTTACGACAATCCTGCATGCTCTGATCTGCAGTCTGTGAGAACAGCTTGCGCAGTATGATGCTGTGACCTTGCCAGAACCGGTTTGCCATGGAAATGGAAACTTCCTGGAAGGTAAGTGTAGGTTACTGTATGGGAGGAGGTAAGTGACAACCCAAGCGTCCAACAAACCAAATAGACATTTATAGATACATACATTAATACTTAAGAATCTCTCTCTCTCGATATGTTTATATTTACATATATATATTATAATAATAATAATAGTAATAATAATAATATATATATATATATATATTGAAATAAATATGTCCATACAACATATATGTCATAAATGCAAACATGTAGAAACTGTGAAATAAATGCGCGCATGTGCATAGATGCATACGGGCAGACCTGCCCATTGACATACATACCTATCTACATACCTACACACCTACCACAACATACATGCCTAAACCTACCTACCATACCACATCGTACCTTGCATTGCATCACATTACCTGCCCATGCGTTACATTACATCACCTTACATTACATGTCATTACATTACGTTATTTTGCTTTACTTTACCTTTCATTGAGGCGTCCATACATCCATGCATACACACACATACATGAACCTATACATCATCCTATCCCAAACATGCATACATCCATCCATGCATACAGACAACCAGGTATTACCTACTTTGCCTTACACGTGCCTGTGTACAACTTACACGTGCCTGTGTACAAGCGCACTTGTACACATTGTCCGTTACATCCGTTCCATTCCATTCCATGTCGTTGCATGTGCTATCATTGCGTACCTACATACATACTTAACATGCATACATGCCCATACATGCATACATAGACGTATACACACATGCATACATGCATACATGCATACATGCCTAAATGCCTACATGGATACATACATGCATACATGCCTAAATGCCTACATGCATTCATACATGCATACATACATACAGGCATGCACACATACCCATCTTTACAAAATACATAGGCATACCCAAATATATATATATATATATTTACATTTATATTTATATATATATGTAAATAAATATACATATATATATGTAAATAAATAAACATATATGTAAATAAATATATATATATATATTTATATGGATATGGTTTGCAATGCATCGTTTCCCGAATGAAGTTGCGAAATCATTCCATTTGATTCACAAAGATTTCGATAATATGTATATATATAAAGTTTCTGCGTGTTACAAAAGGTTCAAATATTCAAACAAATACGCAATATTGACTTATACATAAATGCTTCTCAGAGAGGACTACCCATGTGGAAACTGAATACTTCCCTGGAAAAAAAAACGGTTAAACGCATATATTATTGGTTTTCTTGGTCTTCCCAAATATAGCAACCGAAGATGCGGGCAGTGTCGTGGGGCAACTTGCCAAGCTGTGTTTGCTGGCATTCCAGATTTCACCATTGGATTGAACAGCACCGAGATCACGAAAATCTGGGTAACACCAAATCCAATTAGAAGCCCTGGCATAAAAAAAAAAGTCATTTATATATAAGTCTGGCATTCCAGATTTCACCATTGGATTGAACAGCACCGAGATCATGAAAATCTCACGCCCGTTGTTTTTTCCACAGGGCCAACGCCGGTTCATCATGAGCAAACATGTTTGCAGAACTTCCGCCGCATGAAAGGATGAGATACCCTGGCTAATGTGTAAATGTGTGTGAGGAGATAAATTCATTTGTTTAATTTGAACGCTGCCAAACCGATGTCACAGAGTTTATGATTTGCAATGCAACATCCGTGGAACTGTGGTTGTCTAGCACTTTCAGACATCACGCTCGGCTCTTTGATTGTGTGATGGCAAATAGGGGCCGCGATCAAAAAGCATCCGTTAACAACTGTTTCTTCCTAACCTTGGGAGCACCGAACAAACAACAAACATACAGTTGTATAAATATGAAAGTTTCCTAAAATTTGGGTACCCCAAATCATCTTGCTACTATCTAAATCTCAATCAAAATATATCTATTTAAATAAGTCTTTCTCTCTATCTAAGCCTATCTATCCTAATCTATCCTAATCTATCCTAATCTATCCTAATCTATCCTAATCTATCCTAATCTATCTATCTATCTATCTGTCTGTCTGTCTGTCTACCTATCTATCTATTTATCTATCTATTTATCTATCTATTCTTCTATCTATTCTAATTCTATTCTATTCTACTCTACTCCTACTCCTACTCCTACTCCTACTCCTACTCCTACCCCTACTCTACTCCACTCGACTCCACTCGACTCGACTCTACTCTATTCTTGTCTCCTCTACTCTACTCTACTCTACTCTACTCTACTCTACTCTTGTCTCCTCTACTCTACTCTACTCTACTCTACTCTACCCTACCCTACTCTACTCTACTCTACTCTACTCTACTCTAAGTCTACTCTACTCTACTCTACTCTACTCTTGTCTCCTCTACTCTACTCTACTCTACTCTATTCTACTCTACCCTACCCTACTCTACTCTACTCTACTCTACTCTAAGTCTACTCTACTCTACTCTACTCTACTCTATTCTTGTCTCCTCTACTCTACTCTAGTCTACTCTACTCTACTCTACTCTGCCCTAACCTACCCTACCCTACTCTACCCTACTTCTCTACTCTACTTTACTCTACTCTACTCTATTCTTGTCTCCTCTACTCTACTCTACTCTACTCTACTCTATTCTTGTCTCCTCTACGCTACTCTACTCTATTCTTGTCTCCTCTACTCTAGTCTAGTCTACTCTACTCTACTCTGCCCTACCCTACCCTACTCTACTCTACTCTACTGTACTGTACTCTACTCTACTCTACTCTACTCTACTCTATTCTTGTCTCCTCTGCTCTACTCTCCTCTCCTCTCTATATATATATCTCTCTCTCTCTCTTTCTCTCTCTCTCTTCTCCTTACTTTTTTTTGATCACGGCCCATATTCCAAATTTTGACTTGGATTGGGATGACATTATCAAGAATCTGTTTTTTTCAGGGTTCTCAGTGTGGTCATGTCTCACCCCATTGCCTGGCCGTGCGTGGCTTCTGAAACTCGTGAGGCAGGATCCCTAGGCTTAGGCACCTCGCTCCTCTCATCTTGGCATTGTGCCTTGGCGTTGCGAGCCATGATTGTTCCCCTTCGGAACCCAGTGCCATGGAAATCAGTTCGTGCCCCGCTTGCATTTGGGCAACTTGTGCAGGGTCATGCCCCAACTGTATTGAACGGACCGAAGTTCAAGGTGACGTCCACTATCGTCCAGTACCATTTAATGCCCACCCGGACCATTAATTCATGTCGCTGTTGCCAACAGCAAATTAAGGACCTGGAAAGATTTCGTGGAATGAAGCTGATGTCGAAACTTAGCTGAAGTGAAATTGCGAACGAACCAGTTGTCCTCTTATTGATCCTCAAAAATGGAAAACACGAACAAATTGAATTCATCTTGTCCCAAGCCAAAATCAAATGACTATATAAATATATATATATTTCACATATATATTTGTATCATATTTTTCTGATTTAGGGTGGTTCATTACCCAAGAGATGCGCAAACCCTTGGCCATGCTCAGGACCGCTTGGCGACCAAGTGGCTGAACGAATTTCCTGGAAGGGCTTTGGAGATAATCCGCAACAACCGGCTGCCACCTGGGGCCGCATTGGTGTCGGTGGAGTCAGACGTGACCACCCCGTGTGCGAAGGAGTTTACAGGGAGAGGGTCATTTACTATCCCATCTACAAGAACATCTATTGGTCCGAACTTGGTTACCAACAAAGATAGTTATAGTTGCGTTTGGATCTGAGAAGTAGTAGCATCGACAAACCAGGGAACGATATATGTTGTTTACAATGTTTGTCAAACCCATTGAAGCGGTCAAAGAAACATAAGCACCAAGAAATCCACACAATCTTACCTGAACCCACACTTACATGGCAGGAAATCAGCAAGAACTTTCTCTGGCTCAGGGCGGTGTGCGAAGAGTACCCATATAAGGCTCTGTGTGTGTGTGCGTGTCTGCAAAATTCACTGGGATGTGAAACGCATACATTGGTTGTTCTTTTGGTGTATAAGATATATATATATATATTATTTATTTCTATATATATATATATACATGGTGATCTGGTGGTTGAAACGGTTGATGCATAGGTATGCATAGGTGTTCGAAGGCATACCTGCAGAAAAGTAGGTGCATTATTTCCATTACCATATTTCAAAAAGAGATGACATAAGATTCATTTAACTTTGTATCCCACATAGAACTAGTAGGTTTCACATTGATTGTTATACATACGACCGTTCCATGGTTTGTATTAGTATCACAGAAATTTTCAACACCACCCTCAACCCATTATGTACAGTTCTTCGATCTTTGGGTGTTAGCGCATGATGCCTCTGAATAGGTACCAAGTGCTTTTTTCTTGGCCGATAGCTTCTTGAAGTTGGATTCCCACTTGAACCACCTCATGCTGGTGCCTACGCAAGATGAGTCCAAGACGGATCTAGCTGGAAAGGAGGCGAAGCGCATTAAGCGCTTGTTGGGCGCCTTGCGCCACCTTTTCAGAAACAGCCCCTGGGATATAGTTCAAAGTATTTATTAACTTGGACTTGTCAACGATGCGCATGTGGCTGAGCTGAAGAGTCTCCTTCGCATGTCGCCGAGTCGGGGCGGCCAGGAAGAACTGGGTTGTTTCTTGTTCAGGTCATTGTGTTTATCCAATGAGTCCCATTCCCAGCCAACCCACAAAATCTGGTTTTAGATCAAACTTCAAAATATAGTTTCAAGAATCCTTCAGCCCGCATGCAGGAGAACCATGGTGATGAAAGTGGTGAACCCGAACCTGATGTGGCGGCCATTGTGGACCAGGAACCCAATGAGAACCCCGATGATAGTGATTATGAGGGTGATTCCGAAACGTCACAGCATTCAGCGTCAGATGAGAGTGATGATGATATGGAACCAGCAGGGCATGAACCCCATGACAATGAAGACAACGCCAGTGACATGAGCCTTGCAGATGCTCCCCGTGTCAACCCAGGTGATGGTGATGCCATGGCAGACACGAATCAGGAGTCCGAGTCAAGCCCTGGGTCTCAGGATGAGAAAGGGGCTGTTCCTGATGAGTTGACACCAACCGAAAAGCGAAAACTTTTCTGGGCCAAGTATGCTGTGAAAAGGAATTTCCACAATCCAATGTGTGAGGGGAAGGGGGAGTGTGATGATGACATTAGCTTAACTCCCACTCTTAGCCCTGGTTCGCCTTGGGAGCCGGATGCATATTCCAGCCGGGGTCGCGCCGTGTTCACCAATGTGAAAAGGGTTGATGGTGATGCGGTGATTCCCCATGCAAAGTCTGATGATGAGTCTTGTGATTCGGGAAGCACTTGGGTTCTTGGGCAGCAGCCCCGCTCTCCTAGCCCCATGGCAGAACCCGAGCCCAGGGAAGCACCCAACCCGAAGGCAGAAGCCTATACAGGATCTGGTTCTGAGGATGATTCTTATGACTCTTCCTCTTCCGAGAAGGGAGTTGTGGACGAGGACACTTTTCACCAAGAGTTGCGCAAAGCATCCGTGGCAGCCCAAGATCGTGCCATCAACAGTGGGCCATCCTCTGGCTCCAAGGCAACCATGGAGACACCCCAGTGTAGCAAACCCGGCTTCTGGGGATTCCCTTTGGTTGAGACACCTCCAAAGGTTTCCGTTTTTCAGCTGTGTTCAGAGAAGTGTTGCAATCTTATTCTTTCGTGTTTTTGGTGGTTTGGGTCTCATTACAATTCCATAGTATGTAGTCTCCTCATTACCCCATCTTCCATGAAGGCTGCACATACCCTAAACAGTCACAAGATGAGTTCTTTGTTTTCCAAGGCTCCTCACAAGAACAAGGGGAACAAGGGGAACAAGGGGAACAAGGGGAAGAAGAAGTGCACGCACAAGGTCAACAAGAAGGCATCGTTCAAGCGGTCTGGCACTTCGAAGAAGGTGGCCAAGGCTGATGAACATTCAGTTGATTCGTTGAGTATGGCCCCAATGAGCCCAGAACCCAAATCGACTTATGGGGCATACAGCCTGGATGAAATCCCCAGGGATGCATGGCCAAATTTGAGCCGTGCCAACCGTGGCAACCATTCATATACCCTGTCGGATGGGAATGGGGCAGTGGTCGAAGTACTCCTTCAGAAGCGTGGGTTTTTCATCAAAAAGGTGAAGGACGGATTTGAAGGGCCTCAGGGTCACGTGTCCTGGGGAAAATTTGAAAATGTTCAGAAGGCCTGGGATGTTGTCAGAAGCAGGTCTGGCTATCGTCTGAACCCCTGATCTGGAAATTGAAAATGTGATTAACTTGTGGCCCATAAAGGTGCAGCATTTTTTCTGTTCAAAACAATGAACGCTTTGTCGTTTTACAAGGGTCAGGGAAGCTCCAACTGGCGATCTTTTTGGTAGGGTTTCTGCCCCATTGCAGATCAATGAGGCGCGGCAGGGTTTCAGCTGCAGCGTATGGCTGTCATAGACAGGAAAGTCGGGTAGATGGGAATATGCTTTAAAGCTTTAAAGCCTTCAAACGCTCAAGTCACAGAAAATGCAAAGAGGTCAAAGAACTCCACACCGGCTTGCCTACTGACATGCCATACCAGTTCAGCCAACTATAGTTCTGGGGAAAGCAAAGTTTCTCATCAATCTCGGTGCGACAACCGGTTGCTTTGGGAGCCTATAGTGACTAGTGATCAGTCATGCTTTGTTGTGACAAAAAGGTCAGGCTTGTTGAAACCAATTCCTTTAGTGCCTTGGATGGGTACCAACAGCAGCCTGGGGGTGATCATGCCCAAATGTCTTGAGATGTCTTGAGCATCGTGTCAGTAGCGCGGTGGAGGAAAAAATCAAAGGATTAGCCCATCTCACAGCGAGAAGCAACTTGTAGTTTTACATTTCAATAGTTGCCACTTAGATCCTGAAGCAATGGACTTTGAACAATCCGGTTCCCATGTTTGATCCCATGCCAAGTCCTGGCTCAAGTATGCTACTGTTACCTTTTCGAATTTTCCTGTTGGTTTGCCATACCTTATTCTTGTGGAAACAACTTGCAAGGAAGCTGTCGCATGAGGGTTTCTTCTATAGATTATTGATGGGATTAGTAGATGAGATATATCCAGAGCGGAATCAAAAACAGCAGTTTCCGAGAATCTATTTGGGCCTAATTCAAACACATTGGCCCGCTGCCGGGGAGATGCCAGCGGGATAAATTGCGTGGCACAAGGCTGGATACTTGGGGGGGTCTGGCGCAACACATGTTTGATCCAGTTTCTATTCCAATACATTCCAATACATTCCAATCCAATCCATTCCAACCCATCCCAATCCATGACAATGCGCTCCTGCTCTGGCTGCTCTGGCTGGAGGTCTGGTTGCAGCTGATGAAGGTGATGAAGTGACCTCAAGGTCATGTTGCTGCCGCCCGGTCGGCTGGGTTTTTGAACCGTGTCTTCTTCCATGTCAGCCTGTGATTGAAGAGAGCTATAGAACATGTCCGGTTCAATCCATTTTGTTTTCAATTTTGGGATCTTTATCCACAAAGAAATTGCTTTAAATGGAAATGTCTTGTGAAAATCATGTGTTTATGAGCTCTATAGGCTCAGCTCCAAAGCTCACATTTCCAGTCCCAGTTTGGCAATGGGGAAACCTACGAGCCACAGAGTGCCCCGGCGTGCTGCGCTCGTGGCCGGAGCAGGGTCAAAGTCAGTGCCCAAGGGCTTGAGCGAACCTGATTCGGTGCCAGAGACTGTGCCTGGTAAACACCGTCGTGAAACTATGGCTGGATTGCGCATGTTGAAAGCGCCCAAGGCAACAAGGCTTAATTTGGCCAACATGAGATCTGTTTTCTGTTTAATTCAGGGTGGTTTGGTTTGAAGCACCATGCGATTTGTTTTCTGTCTCCTTGAGTTAGTGTCTCAACTTTGAAAACTGTTTCTTTCTGACATGGAGCCGAAAGCGGAATCCAATAAGCCTAGAGCTCAAAAGCTAAAACCAAGATTATCGAAGAATGACCAATAGGCCATGGAAAAGCGCAATTGTTCCCAATGAGATTACCACAGAAAGAATGGATTGTGGCCTCCCCTCTTCCAGATTGAGGTCCTTGCGGTGCTGGCTGCTTTGGTGTTTTCGCTGCCTGGCTTATCATGGGCCCCAACGCAGCATGCTGAGTTCTTCTCTGGGAAGATGGAAGTTACATTGGCCGAAATTCAGGACTTACAACGGTTAGCGCAGTCTGTGGATGAACCATGAAGAAAACAAAAACATATACCGTTTGCATGTGGCTAGGGCAGTGCATACCCTATATGTTATTCAGTGGTCTTGGAAAAGACATTTAAGGCAGCTATGGGAACACCAACCTTCAAGCCTTCAAGCCTTTAGCAATGCAACCTGCAGGAGGGAAGAACATGTGCAGCTTATGATGTGGAGTACGACCCGCACTACATGAACATATTGTCGCCCGAAGGATACGTCCATGCCATCTACCAAGTCCTTCGGCTGGAACGGGGGTCTTCAATGACCCTCGCTCCAGTCTGTTCTTCATGGGTATGGGTGTGCATTGGCTGCAGCTATGAGGTGTCAAGCAAACATATATCAAAAGAGGAAATCCCGAAAACTTTATAAACAGTCCAAGCTTTAAAAGCTTAGGGGCTTAGGATACCCTTATTGTGAGACATGCCCATGTGCATATATACATTATCATATCCATATACCGTACATATAGAATACATTTACAGCACATTGATACATATATGGGTATTTGCAGAAATACATATTCTCAATATACACTTACATATTTGGCATACTACACATATTCTACATATTTTACATGTTAAACATGTACACACATACACTTACATACATATATACGGCTATACACAAAATACATACATATATATACATTTGTACATGTACACATCTACAAACATACTTTACATCTATATGCATATACATAAATAGATGTATCCATATTGACAAAGTATACAGTATACATATTACTTGATGTGGTGCCAGTTTCCAACTTTCCAAACCATGACCCCATTGTAAACGCTTATTAGTTGATCAATATTGTTTTGGGCCAGAAAAAAATGCTTCAAACACCACGCTGCCCCAGCTTTCGGGCCTAAGGTCACGTGGAACGACAAAAAGATCGGCTTACAATGTGCTCGGGGATACCTCAGTGCGATGCGTGTCAGAAGGAAACTGCATGGCAGCACGTTGTGCATTACTTTGCTTCCTAGCATTGGCTAGAGGAATATGGGTGGTGATGGAACAACCACGGGGAAGTCTTCTTGAACATCACCCAGCAATGCAACTGTTGTTCAAGCTTTGCCAATTCTGGCGCAAAAGTATCAAAATGGGTGATTTTGCCGCTCCTTCGCAGAAGGATACCTGGTTATATTCCAGTCTGGGCCCCAATTGCTACAGGTGTGTTTTGTTGGGTTTTTATCCAACCATGTGCAATGGTAATTGTATGGTTTGAAACATATCGATGGATTGTGGTGGTTCCAGAACCTTACATGTGGGGCTTAATGCCATATGGGGCATAATGTCAACCCATGATGAATCAAATTCATATCAAATGGTCGTCAGCATAATTAATTGATGGGGCATCTTGGGCACACACACAAACAGAGTTATGGGTGATTTGTCTATTGTCTATTGTCTTTGGGCCATCCAGCTCATCAGCTCTTTATCAGGCCAACCCTTCATCGAGCAGATCTATGATTTCAAGCCTGCGACACTCCCACAAAGGCAGTCCGTGCAGCTAGTTGAGAAGTATGTTGACTCCAAAGGAATCAATCGGGTAAAAGGGTCCCGCTTCCTAAAAGGAAGCCAGGCCTACACCAGGCAGTTCCTTAGGCTATTGGATTGGTCTTAGTTTTTAATGGTTATGTATTTACAGATGGGTTGCTTGTGCTTATCAGCTGGATCCACCCCTGAAAAGTTCTTTGGAATTCAAAATTTGAACATGGAAATAGTATGGCTGTAGGGTTAATGTAAAAACACTTTTGGGTCCACCCTGATTTGTTATCCCATATCAAACGTTTTCTTGGCACACGCCAAGGTTCGGCCGGGCTTTGGCAAGGCTGAGGACCAGACACCAGTCCGAAGTGAAAGCAGCAGCTGCAGCTTTCCTGTGCAAAGCCGCTGGCGGGAAGCAACGTGCCCCACGGAAGCTGAGCTCGGATTTTCAAAGCTGGATCAAATCAGCAGATTTAAACCCAGTGCTGGAGTTCCTCACAAAATAAATGTAGGAATCCTTTTGCACCAAAAATTCAAAGAAGGTTGAGTGGAATACCTACTCAATCGCTGCGATATGATAGCACAGTGGTTCACTCAGCGTTTATGCAGTGAGCCTTTGGGAGATGGGATAGAATCATCTGAGAAATGGGGAAAATGCTGAATATGGATGCCTTCAGGGTTCTTCTACCAATGTCCATTTTCAGACCAATCAAGGAGCATCTTCAGCTCTGTCCCCAACCCTCCTCCACCACATCCCAGTGGAGTACCCCCGAGATATTCCACAGCTCTAGCCTGGAGGTGACCAATGCCGCGACTGGTGCTCAAGACCTTACAGAAACCAGGCTTGGAATGGGCATGGTGGGGCAAGCAGACCCATGGATGCGAAATCATAAATTTATATGTTAAGTTATGAAATAGGCAGCTGCGATTTGCCGAGAAAAAGCTGCGATTTGCCGAGAAAAGTTGCGATTTGTAGAATCCATTATTTTCTTGATATCCTGTCACCTTCAAATCAAAGATTGCATTATGAATTTGTAGAACCCATATTTTCTTGATATCCTGTCACCTTCAAATCAAAGATTGCATTATGAAACGTATCAGTTGTCACCACTGCATACCACTGCAGGATTTTGAAAGGTCCAAAGCTGCTGTCACTGACATAGACGTTTTGAAACGTAGGTCGGTTTGATCAGTGGCCCATGGCCAAAACAAAGAAGGGTCAAATGCAGGCCCCGGACCCACTCCCTCGTAGGCTTTCAGGGAAAACACGGCCGAGTGATGTCCACAAAAAAGATGGTGGTACCCCTTCCACTATGACGCCCTCAGAAGCTGGATCATCATCCAACCGGTTCGTCTACTCTACCCCTACTGATCGAGGAACTGGTGGCTTGGTGTCGCCGGCACTCAACAATGAGGGAAAAGGAGATACCAAGAAGGGAGACAGGGGAGACAAGACAGGTCGTCAAAAGAATGAGAAGAAGGAGAAGAAAGAGAAAGAGGAGAATAAGGAAAGGAAGTCAGCCCTCAGGCGCCCATCAGGCACACGTGATGAGAAGGGTGCAAAGGTTCAGGCAATAGAAGACAAGAAGGAGCCAAAGGAGAATGTCAAGGAGTCAAAGAAGGAGAGCAAGGAGTCAAGAAAGACGGATAAGGAGTCAAGAAAGGATGGTAAGGAGTCGAAGAAGGATCGAAGAGAGGAGCCGGCGAAGGATGGAAAGGAGTCGAAAAAACAGAGAAAGGAGTCGAACACAGAGAGAAAGGAGGCGAAGGAATGCAAGAAGCAGAAGACAGAACCAAATGCAGAAGCAAAGCCACTTGTGGCCGAGAACTCAAAGACAGAGAAGACCGACAAGAGAGAGAAGAAGGATGGAAAGAAGGAACAGGAGAAGGAGAAGAAGCATAAGAAAGAGAAGAAGTCCAAGGATGAGGAGGCAGGAAAGACAAAGAAGAAAAGAGAGCCAGAAGGAGATCAGACTGGGGATGGTCCAGTCAAGAAAAGGAGGGAAGGCGATGATGAGAAAGAGGAACCCCAAAAGAACGAAGCACATCTGGATGAAGATCTAGCAGTTGTGGCAGGAGCAGAGAAGAGTTCCTTGAAAGTCCCAGACATTGATGAGCTGATCGCTCAGCTCGAGGCAGAGGAATTGGTGGAGCAAGAGAAGTTCGAGAAGATGTTAGAAGACAGTGGGGAGGAGGGCCAGGACGAGGGAGAAGGACAGGAGCAGGGGGAGGAGGAAGAGAAGGAGATCGATCAGGAGGTCGCTGTCCCCAGCACCACAGCCCTCGCTTTGAAAAAGTTGGATGAGAGTGACGAATCGATGGATGATGAGGCAGCCTCTGACCCAAGCTCCCACGATTCCTCTGAGGAATCTTCCCAGTCCAGCCAAGAGACCGTGGATGATGAAACCAGCAATGATGATGCTGACACAGCTCCAGCTCCTGCATCGAGCAAAGGCGACAAGATCGATGAGGCAGCTGGGTCGGCCGTGGATATCCCTGCCCAAAGGGCCAACAGTCACTATCCATGAGCATTCAGAAACTATTACTATTTGCAATTTTGCCCAAAACATGTCCTTCCGGGTGGTGTGAACAATTTTCAATTGACTCTGATAAATTATATTTGGATTTGTTGATTTTAGGGGTCCCCATCACGGTGGTTGATTGTGGTCATCTGGTGTCTACCCTTTACATCAAGTCCATGTCTCCCCATCCAAGGTCGAACCAACAAGAAAGAGTGGGATACTTTCAGCAGAGAAGTGTTGAACAAGAAGAAGTTCCCGGTGCGATTATCGGAACATCTCGCACGGGATAAGGTTGATTTGTTCAACCTTTGGTTGGCTCACGGCAAGGACCTTCACGAGTTGCTTGACAGGACATCCATATTCCTTTTCTGTTCAACAGAGTTCATCATGCCGAATTGAAAAGTAAAAAGGCTAATGGGGATGGGAAATAAATTGCGGGCATGGTGTGTTCCAAAATAGTGGGAGCCCAGCAGTTTCAATCAATTTCACAGAAAAACACATTTCTTTATGCCTTTCTGCTTACTTCCCAGGGTGGCATTGCATGTGGAGCGCACTGCCGAAACTGTGAATCGCACAGCCAGTGGCCGAGAGGGGATGAAATTGAGGGATATCGAGGCCAAGTACCCACCGGAGAAAGCCAAGAAGTTGGCCACCCTTCTTCGATCCCGGGGCATGTGGTATTGGGATCCGGATTTTCCCAATGACGAAGAGGAGCGGGGTTGGGTCTATACATAAAGATATAGTTTCGAGTGTATTTAGAGGAGTGTATATATATATATATATACTGTATATATATATATATATATTTGTTTATGGGTATGCGTATGTATGATTATGTATGTATGTCCGTATGTCTGTCTGTCTGTATGTATGTATGCATGGATGGATGGATGGTTCGATGGATGGATTCAAAGTTTCATCTCTACTAGTTCAAGAGGTTTCCAGCGATGAGCAGCTTGTGCGCAAACGTGTTTTGTATTGTATATATAGATAGGTTGTACCGATCATACCCATCCTGGAAAGTGCAGTTTCAAATACATGAAGATAGATAATACTTCAAAATAATGAACTACTGAGCGATGAAGGGGAATGGGGTTAGATCTTGCGCCCAACAATACATTGCATTCGTCTTGGAAAGGGTTGTTTCAATACCACTGAAAATACCATGTTTCTGGAGGTGTTTCCTGAGATGTTTCCCTGATGCAGGAGATATTCTATTACACTGGGAAAGCTCGAAGTGTCAGCACGGAGAACCTTACAAAGGAGTCCATGACCCTCAAGGGAGTTACCAGCCCTGATGAAACCACACTTGCTGCCCTCACCGGTGAATCAGGTCCTCTTGCTGCTGGAGCTCTTCCCCAGATGGATGTCTCGCAGGCCGAAGGTGACAAGAACACCTGGGAAACTCTGATGGAAGCCCCGGTGGCCAAGCGCAAGGCCAAGCCGCGCACTACGCAGGAGCCAGCAGTCCCGGTGGAACCCAAGACCCTTCATGAGTAGTGATCTTAGTTGTTCTCAAACTGTTCGCAAGAGATGCAACTACAACAGCTACCATTAGTTTTGAAAATGACAAAATTGAAATACAGTTGCCTTCATTGCTCTCAAACATTACACAGGAAATCCAAGAAGTCTTTCGTCTGAGAGCTGCATCCGTGTTTGCTTAAACATCTTGAAACAAGGGGTGACCCCCACAGACATCCCTTGTTTTACAATCATTTCTTTCTTAAGGTATGGAGAATTCTGGAGAAAGAGAGGGGGAGAGAGAGCGGGGGAGAGAGAGAGAGAGAGAGGGAGAGAGAGAGAGAGAGAGAGAACGAGAGAGAGAGAGAGAGAGAGAGAACGAGTTCACTCAAAGAGTGATATCACATTATAGTTATGAAAGGATAAGGAGTGCCACCGACTGGTTTTGAATTTCCGTGCATGGACCCCCCCAAAAAAAACAGTGAATGTTGAATGCAAACAGACAATTGTTTTTGGGTCCAACGAAACACTCCCAAAATGGATGCCAGATCGATGGATGGATAGATAGATAGATCCAACGAAACACTCCCAAAACGGATGCCAGATGGATGGATGGATGGGTGGATAGATAGATCCAACGA